AAAGCTTCTTTCATTATTTTATTTCTAACCCTTCTATAGTCTTTTATTTGTTTCTTGTTAACAGTGTATGTAGATATAAAGAGCTAAGTAATGGAGCATATATTTTAATTATGAATACATTTGCCTTGGACTACTGGTACTCACTGGTCCTGGCTTCATCCATGACCAGTCCTGGGCTCAAGTCCAGCGCTTTCACTGAACACTGCAGAGGCTAGAATACATTCTGAAGAAGCCTAGATCACTTAGCCCATCCCCCACCCAAGCTGACTTTGTCTTCTGTGGATGTCCCCATATATCACTGTGAGGAGCTCCTGGACCAAGCCTGAGAAGGGCAAGGCAAGACAATGCACCCTTGTTCAGCTGACCAGGCACAGGGATGCGCCATTTCTCTCTGAAGCCTGTGTCTCACTTGGTCCTTTCTGCCACAGTGACATTCGCTGGCAGCTAGCCCGTGGTACTTGCATGTTGGGGTTAGAGTCAGTCCCTGACTCTAAGGCTTTTCTGAGTGTCTCCCAGGCCTTCTGGGGATTAATTCATGTGTAGGTGGCCCTGGGCTTTCTGTAGGTGGTGTATGTGAATTCTGACACTTCATTCTACCTTCTAGGACAGCCTTAACTGACTCCAGGATGGGCTGTTTCCTCCATGGTGTCCCCAGCTGCAGCCTGGCCTCTGCTAGCTTCTTCCCCATCTCCTTGCTCTCCAGAGCTGGAGTGACCACACGACATCCACGAGGTCTCCCAGGCTCTCCCAGGAGAGCTGTTCATCAACTAGCATCCAGATGGTCAGTTTCACATCAGGCCCTAGAAATTTCTATGGAGTCTGCCTGCCCTGTTTCCCATCTCCTGTATCTGTGTCCCCCTGGAGGTCTCAGCCATCAGGGCAGGGAGTGCTGTGTCTGAAGATATGTAGGATGAGTGAACTGTTAGTGAAGTAGAGGAAAGGAGTGGGTTGAGGAGGTGTAGAGGCTGAGGCATCACTGTGAAGCTCCAATATCAGGGCACCCTGAGCACGCCAGAGGGCCAGGCTTCAAAAAATACTCTTTGTGTTGATTCTGCTTCCCAGGGTAAGCATTCTGCCCAAGAAATTCCAACAGACCTGTGGCCTCTGCCAGCACATCTGAGGGAGGCTTAGATGGCTGATGCTGAATCTCTGGACCAAGGTCTGGGCCTCTGCTCACGCCTCACTGTCCCCTGCTTCCTGTTTCCACATGTCAGGTAGTTTTCATGGCTTTGATGAGGGATAAGTGACACAAAGATGCTCAATACAACCAGAGCGCACAGTGTGATAGGTTTGGTGTGTGGCTGCATTGTCACGAGAGCAGACAGCACCTTCTGAAGCCCAGGTCAGCCCTTTGCCTCTTGCTTCCAGTTTTTCTGGTGGGGTGGGATTCTGTGGGGAGCAGTGAGGAGGTATGGAACTTGTGTTCCTTAAGGGAGGGAGTGGAGCATAAGTGGACCAGATGAGCGCTGGTGAGCAGCAATGAGAGCAGAGGGCGTCCCTCATTCAGGCCCACCTTCTGTAGCCTCCCAGCACAGGAGAACACCTGTAGTCCTGAACCACCAAATGACCCAGGTCGCTGGGTCACTGCTGCAGAACCTCTTTTTGTTTTATTTTTTATCAGTCTTGCTGAAGGAAACTTCAATCTGGTTGAGTTTGAAGGCTGTTGAGTCAGAGCCATTTAGTCATTTCACTTCTAACCCTAGTGACGATCACACTGAGAGCTCATTCCCTGTCTGCTCTGGGCATCTGCCCTGGGGCCTCACTTTCTACTTACCCAGAGTATTCAGAGTTGAATTGTCTCTCTCCCTACTATGAACCTATCATGATGGTCTTGACTGCAGTCTTTCCTCCCAGGCTATAAGTGTTATTGGGTAGATTTGAATAAGACCATCTGATGCTGTCACTGCCTTTGCTTAACTGAGTTACCAAAATGACAATGGGATTATATCCTTGTCCAGAAGCTATTTTCTTCACTATCCACCCACCCTGGGTCTCCTCCAAAGAGCCCCTTGCTGTAGGCCTCCTCCTAAGACACAGACTGTGGGATTCAGTGAAAATCAGGAGATGTCACCTCCCTGTGATGAAGACCATGTCTATTCACAGACCCTAGGGCTCAGCTCCCCAAGGTCCTGGCTGTGAACACTCACTGTTCCTCACACCACAAAAACCACACAGTACTTACCTGCCTTGAGTGGGTTTGAGCATTCGCCACCTCAGGGTACCAGAAAGGTGAATGCATATGGTAACACCCCGCCAAGTGCAGGCCATGCCTTACTGCCTTATGGCATCCTCCCTGAACACTTACCCACAACAACACATGAAAGTGCCTCTCCTCCTAGGAGCCTTGGTACACAGGGACATGCTCCTGGGATGGGACCAGGAGTCCTCTCTAAACCAAGATGCAGGCATGAGGACTCTTGGAACTCTCCCTGGTGAGTCAACTCTCCCTACCTTTCCTCTCCAGGCAAGTGGATCTGGTCTGAGGACAGGCCAAGGACATATGCTATCAGGGAAGGAAGGGCCTGTCCTCTGGGTACCTTCTGTAGTGTCCTTGCTGTGGTTTAGATAGGCATCCTTAAAAATCTATGTCAAAGGCTTGGTCCCCAGGGTGGTGCTGTTGGAGAGTGCCATGCACCTTCAGGAGGAAGACCTGGTAGGATGGGAAGTTTTTAGGTCATTGGACAGGCCCTTAAGTTAGATAGTGTGTCCCAGCCCCTTTCGCTTCCTGGTGTGGCCTATGCTGTTTTTGCTGCCACATCGCTAACATTGTCTGGCACCCCATCATGGGCTTAAAAAGCAGTGCACCTCTTGATCCTGGACTGAATCCTTCAAACCCCAAATCAAGCTAAGCCTTTTCTCTCATAAGTCAGTTATCTTGTAAGTCACTGTCCCTTCATTACAGCCTTGGGAACTGATTGGCCAGCTGCAGGGCCCTCCTTGAAAGGACCATGCCTGTTTAAGGCTAGGACTTGAATTCTGGAGACAGGAATGTAGTGTCATGACTGTGTTGACATTTATACAGAATCAAAACATGTAGACTGGGTTCAAAAGTGACTTAGCAGCATTAGTCTCAGTACCCACATCCAGTCCTGGGTTAGGGGCCAACCAGGGGCATATGGCCCAGGTGATCCCCTGGGACACTCCTGGGTAGAGGGATCCAGTGCTTGCCTGGGCTTGAGTGCATGGTGAGAATGTGGCACACACCTACAGGAGGCCTGGACAGTAAACCCTGGGTGGTGGGAATTGGCCAGGTGGGCACCGCCTGTTAAATCCCTTCTCTGGGATCCAGAAGCCAGCCTGAAGGGGTATGAGATAGGGAGTGGTTCTACGGCTGACCCTCACTGACATCAGACTGATCCGCTGAACATATCTACCAGTGGTAGACCAAGGGACTCATCCCTCTCATGCATGGACCTCAGGACCTTCCTGCTCTGTCCCTCTTCCTGACTGACTGCAGCACTCAGATAGCCACTCATTTGTCCCAGAGATCTTGGTTCCTCTATCCCCTCCCCCAGTGTGGTGGATACAGCAGAACATCTCCCCCCAGCTATCCTCCCTCAAGACCTGTCTCCAGCGTTCCCCCATCTTTTCTCTAGCCTCTGTTCCCACCTTCCTGGGCACACCCCATGCCATAGATACAGCATTGGGCTCCATTGTGACCAGAGGCCCCCAAACACCCTGACTTGTAAACTGTTGTCTTTGGTCCTACTTGCAGCAAATGAAATTTCAGCAGGAGAGTAAATCATGCAGTGAAGGTGTTGTCCAAGACATTGGCTTCAAACATAAATTCTGACCACACCATGCAGGAATAAGTGTGATGGGAGCTGCCCCAGAAGCTGTAGACCTTGCAGATGGCTCAGCTGACCTCAGTGCCTATAAAACTCTGCTGTGGCCTCAGGCTCACGCTGACCCTGACGATATCCTTCCAGAAACCCTGGGAGTCAGGGGGACAGGTGGCGGGACTGGACAGGCTGTCTGAAGTTCTAGCCACTGCCAGGGATACCTCAGCTTGGCACTACTCAGAAGTCCCCAGGGCTACTACCTGTGCAGAAGGATTCATCCACAGGGCTCCTGCCAAGGCTGCTCCTTGGCCCATTTTCCTGGTAGCCCCATCTTGTCTTCTAAGTTGCTTTTCCTCTGAAGATGGGTTCCCCTTGTCTGCCTGTACCTTAGAGTCCTGGCTAGGATATAGAATATGGGGTTCCAACTCAGCCTCTTTCCCACAGCTTCAGGGGCCTCTCAGTTGCTCAAAATCACCTGCAGATGCAACTCATTCAGGGGCCTGGAAGGTGCCCTTGATCTGACTAAGTAGCTCTGGCACTCTGGCAAGCAGATCTGAGATCATCTGACTATGCCGCCTCCGGAGACACAGCAGACACAGCAAGACTCTAGATATGCAGAGCCTCTTCAGCTAGAATCACTGCGGAGGAGCCTGGCACTGACTGATCTCACTTTCTATCTATTTAAGTGATTAAAGTTGTCATAACATCTCTGTGTAGTGAGGCTATCACCTCATGAAATACATACTAGCACAGGGAGGCTGGGGTGAGTGGGTGTGGGCAGTGGGGGAATGCCTCAATGCTATCTTTGTGAAGAGCCCACACACAAATACATACACACATATTCACACGTATACTCATACATATGGACATGTACCATGACTCACAAACACACCTACAACTCACACAATGCATACATGCAAGCACATTCACACAGTAGCATGCACATTTATGCAGTCTCACTGCACAGCATAGCCACCTACACATTGGCCATGTACACCCTCACAAAGGAAGGAAGGGACATGACAGAGGTCTGCAGAGTCAGCTTTGGGCCTGCCTGCTCTTCTGTTCTGTGGCCGAATGGAGGTTGGCTAAGAGTGAAGGGCTCTGCAATGCGCGTATGCTGCAAATCTGTACATTCTCCAAGCAGGGCATAACTGGAATATGTTGCAACACTAGTCCCAAGTGGGCTCAGAAGTCTAAATCAATGTAGAAACATAACAAGTTTCAATATTTAATGCTGAATTTCTTTGGTTGAATGATGGGGTACCTCTGTTTGACATTAGGGGCAGGCCCAAGGGAGTAGCCTGGATGGGGTCCCAGCCCCGCCTCATTCCTTCCCTCAGTGAAGACTGAGAAAAACACAGATGCTATTGACCAGCTTCACCATGGATGAACAATGTAAAACACTGTATTTTCCTCTGAAAGGTTTGTATCTACAGTGCATACACAGCAGGGTGGGTTCTGTGCACATCAGTTACACAAGCAGGTGAGGAGGCTGGATAGTTAAAGAAGCCAAAACTGCCTGATGGTTCTTGCCGCCCATCTGAAGGACACATGAAGTCTGTAATGGGTGTGGAACACTGCAATTAGGGACAAGTTCGCTAATTAGCTTGTAAGAATCCTGTGCCTGACTCCTTACTCAGATACTGAGTGTCTGCCTCCAGATGGCGCTGCCCACCACAGGCTACAGAATGTACTGCCTCCAGTGATCTAGGAGCTCACCCACGCCCTGTCCTCTGAGGAGGTATCAACAAGGCTATGTTCTGTGAAGCAAGCCACAGTGACTCACCCACGGTCTGCAATGGAAACCCAGTGCTCAGGGCTATGAAACACACTAATCATCTATGGGTGCACATACACACCTGTGCGTACACATATAGGCATTGCAATATGTACGCACACGTGTGGCTTGTGCAGGCATGTGCACATGTGTGTGTATGCATGTATATGGCGAGTAGGTGTTTGGATGTACATATCTAAGATGTGCATGGTGTGAATATGTATAAGTATGTATGTATATGTGGTTGTACATGTTTGTGTGCATGCAAGTGTGTACATATATGGTGTGTGCATGTGTTCAAGTGTATGTGTGTACATGTATATGCACATGGGCCACAGATTTGGAAGAGAGAGCGGGGAAAGGAAAGGTGAACACAGTTTCACAGGTTGGTCCCTTGGACACATGGGCTCTCACCTCTGTGAGGACCTCCTCCAGGGACAAGACACTTGGTTTTACAAAAGGCTCATTGTTGACATCTTTTGAGGTGGAGTTTTATGCCCAGGTGTTCATGGAGATGCAAAAAAAGGAAAAGAAACTTTTGTCCATGATGACAATCACATACCCCCTCTTTGTGGGACAGAGAACTTGATTGCTAAATACTCACTTTGGAATAGAATTCAGTCCGACAGTGGCTGGCTTTTAAAATGGAGTCTCCATTGAGAAGCGTATGGACATCTTCCAAAGCACAGGCTCAGAGAGACTGTAGCCAGCCTTCTAAAAGTCACAGCCATTGGCTGTTTTTCCTCCTCATGGTTCCATAGCAGGCCAGCCTCAGCACCCAAGATGCCCTCAGGCTGTCAGGCCACGGCCTCATCCTATATGGGTTCTGATGGGGAGCAGGCAAAGGTGCCAGATGGGTCCCCAGTGAAGATGCAGGTGTGAGGCAACACAAGGTCATTGGGGGGTGGGGACACTGCCCAGTGGCGTGCTCTGGAGGGCTGCTGTTGTGGTCTCTAGAGTAAAACCTAACACACATATACCAAAGGCAGGAACACCAGATGGAGCCTCTGCAGAGGTCTCCCAGGTTCCCTCCCAGCAGCGATGGAGGGTACCTATAAACACAAAGCAGGTTGACAGTTTATGGACAGCCACCTCCCCCCTTGGGACCAGTGGAGGTGCGCATGCCCAGTGTTCTTCCAGTGAGTTCTTCCACAATAAAGGGGTCATGGTTGAGGGGTGTGACCCACTTGGCCCCTTTGGAGACCAAGTATTCTCCCCTCCCATCAACCTCACATGGCAGAGGGCCACTCTCTGCCCTGAAGCTCCTCCAGGGACACACAGTGGTACTGGTGAAGGAGTGGTGGTCCCAACCCAGCTACACTGTAGTTTCATTTTTCCAGGGTCCCGTTCGGATGTTGCCTGTCCCGTCGGTGCCGAACGGCAGGCCTTCTCGAACATCACCCTGGAGCAGCCCATTTTGGCTGGGGCCACCAAAGGGCAGGGACTGTGTCCTCCGCAGCATCTCTAAGTGGGTGGAACCTGGGGACGGCCGAGGAGGGCAGCCGTAGAGCCCAGGACTGGTGTTTCCACCCTCAGGCTGGCTGACCATGGGGAAGGGGTCAGCCTGGGTACAGCAGGCCAATGTGTGCACCCCCACCGGGCCCTCAAGAGAGCTAGGGGCGCTGTCCGAGCGTGAGCTGTGTGGGCTACCATCTAGGCTGGAGGGGATGTGGTAAGCGTACTCCCTTTCAGCTGCAGCAGCCTGGTGCCGGCTGAAGTAGCGAGGCTTAGTTCTGCCCTTGAGGCACCTGTGCAGGTGGGGGTCGTGCAGGTGGGGGTCGTGGGAGAAGGCGTCCTCCTCAGCCATGTGCACGTGGGCCTCCTCCTCCATCAGCTGCTCACAGTGCATCTTGGCACAGCAGGGAGTGGCGGGTGACAGGCAGCTGACATGGCCCTGGGCAGCCTGTAGGTTGGTCATCTTGCAGTGGCCTATAGGGGGATGGCCAAAGCCCCTGAACTTTCCAGGGCACGGTGAGTCTTGCAGGCAGGCCGTGTGTCCCAGCGCATCTCCGTTGGCACTGAGTGTGGGGTGGGCGCTGGGCTTGGTAGAAGCATCCCCCCGAGAGGGGCAGCAGGACCACCAGCACCGCCATACGTCCTCCCGCTTGGCGCAGTGGTGAATGAGTACGAAGAGTCCTAGCGTCACGCAGAAGGCTCCATACAGACAGCTGAAGATCATGTCCCAGAAGTGGTCCTGAGACACGGCCAGCGCCCCGAAGGTCCACGTGGCCGTGAACAGGAACAGTGTGAAGGCTGCAGCACGCAGCTGGGCCTTGAAGGAGTGCTCATTTTGCAGTTGTGAGGCGGCCAGGGCATCGCAGGCGGGCGGCGGCGTGCCAGGACGTATCCCGTGGCGGCGGCTGCCCTCGGGTCCTGCCAGCCGCTGCTGCTCCTCGGTGCGCTCTCTGAGCTCATACCTACGCTCAGGGTGGCGCCGCAGCTGCACATAGGTGCCAAGGAAGTACACGCAGGTGACCAGGGCAATGAAGGCAGCCGGCCCATAGAATGCGCCCAGGCTGGGCTCCCAGGCCATCCAGCAGCTGCAGCGAGAAATAGGTCAGTGTGGGTATGTGGCTGGGGTGCATGCTTCCCCTTGCCCATCAGGACCGAGTGGGGGTTCCTACAAGGAGCATTTTTATTTTGTGGTGAGGAAACAGATGGCATTGGAGTCTGGTAATCTGTGAAATTTGGGTGGATGAGGACAGTAACTGCAGTCTGGATGGGAGTTTGGAGCCAGGTGGATTGGTTAGTTCTGTGAGCTAGTCCTCAGAAGGTGGGTGGGAACAGGGCTGAGGCAGGAATGGGATGGGTGGGGTAAGGAAGTCTACTGAAAGGGAGGTAGACAATTGTCCTGGGCAAGGAGGGGAGCACTGAAGCTTGAGGGGACTGCACATCCTGGGGTACAGGAAGAAGTTTGGGAGTAGTGAAAAGGAGGAGGGTCCCACTGAGGCTCTGGCACCTGTGGGGATGGGCCCAGCTTTGTCCCTGCTCTAAAGGTAAGCCATGCACAGCTCACCTCCTTCTATCTGATCCAAGACTCTTCCCATCTAAAGAAAGGCTGACTTTTGGTGTCTAAGGAAACAGAGTCAGTAGGAAATTGAATCTGCTGGGAGGAGGGGGCTCTGCTCACCCAGAGGCCCAGGAAACACAGCTCTGAGTGGTCTTTTCGCATCCAAAGACCAGGACTTGCTGGTCATCTCAAGGGATCACCTCACCACAATTACCTTGGGGATGATCACTAACAAAGATTGATATTGACAGATGTCTGTGGGTACCCTCCTTCCCTGCCCTCCCCAGGCCTGGGCACAAAGTTGGTACATTCTGCAGGTGTCCAGGCTGCTACCAGGAGGAGTTGAACAGTGTCCCTCCCCAACCCTTTATTAGTTTATGGGTAGCAAGTACTCACTATGCCATATCCTCATTCTCGGTCCCATAATTCCTGATGTTTGTGGCAGCTGTGACACCACAGATGATGAAAGGAACCCCTCCGCTGATGAGGTAGAACCTGCCAGAGAGCAGAGGGCTGACTTCCCAGGAGTGGCCTGAGGCCTCCTGGAGGAGTGTGGCTGTCATTCCCCTTCCTTGATGTAAAGGAGAGGTGGCTGGGGTCCAGAGCCACGCTGCCCCTCAGCACAGGCAAGCTCATGCCTGATGGGGGAGCCTGCTGCTCTCTCTTAGCTCTGGCTGGCAGGGACCCATGGTGATTCTGCAGACTCAGTGGGACCTCAAGGAACCTGGGGTAGAGGCAGGACAGGTACCAAGAAGTGGAGCCAGCGCACCATAGACCAAGGACAGACATAGAAGATGTTGAATGGGACATCCTCCTCCTGAGGTGGCATCTTGAGCTGGTGGCTTAGCTGGGCCCTTCTAGACTTGTCCTTAGCTAGAGTCTAACTTATATCCCTTTCCTCCTTGTCAGCATCCAGTGGGGCAATGTAATAACCTGACTCAACTTCAGGATAAGGAGCTCAGCCCACCTAGCCCTCTGTGGTAGCTGGGAGAGTTGCTCACCTTTGAGCCACCTCTGGAGGGAGAGTTGCTCACCCTGGCAGGAATTGGCTGTGGTATTGGAGGAACCCCCATCCTTGGGGAGCTGATAGCTCCACCGAGGATGATCCAGGGTCCAGTCCACTGGCCACCTTCTATTTTGAGTCCAACCCCACTAAGCTCATGTACCCTGGGCTTAAGCTGTGAGCATGTAAGCTCTGACATACTGGGGGCATGATCCAGAGCTGCCTATTGTGTCCAGTCATGGTAGGGCCACCTCAGAGCCAGTTCAGAGCAGTTCCTCTAAGAAGCAGGCTGCCTCTGGGTGTTACGGACACCTAGAGTGAAAGTGTGGCACAATGCGCTCACAAGCACAGTGACTGGGACCCAGATTCAAGGTGTGGGAGGAAGGCCTTTGCCTCTTCGAATTCAAGAACAAAGATGCAGTTGGGCAGCACAATGTATGCCTAAAATTCTAGTACTTGGGAGGCAGAGGCAGAATAATTGCCAGGTTTGAGGAAAGCCTGGGCTGCATAGCAAGTTCAAGACAAGCCAGGGCTATATAGCAAGACCCATCTAAAATAAATAAACATTTAAAAGTGCAATGAAGATGCTTTCTGATAAAAGTATAACCAACAATTTGTGCTTGGGTAAACTACACTTGATGTGATGTTCTTCAGAGTTGCGGGATGCCTCACCTAAGGAAGCTGGGTTGCAAGAAAGGAACATTAGAAAAAGCTAAGCTTGGGATGGCAGAAAGATTTTGTTTATTTTTAACATCTTCAAAATACAGATGAGTGTTAATAAAATAACAAAATACAGATGAGTGTTAACAAGATGGTGTTTGACACTACCTTATGAGTTCATGAATGACACAGGGGTGGTTGATACATGTGGCATAAAAGGCAGTGGGGATGTTCCTGAGTCATAAAGTATCTCTGAACATTTTATGTCAAGTCATACAACTCTGTTTTGCTTGGATTGTGACTAGGTTGGACGTTTTAATCTCTGAAGCAGTCATAAGACACTCATAGAAAAAGCCCTATTAATACATTAAATTTGAAATTTAAGAAAGTTATATCAAAAAAATTTGGGGGGGTCTTTTTTTTGGAAGCAGGGTCTCCCATGGCCATAACTGTCCTGGAACTCACTATGTAGACCAGGCTGGCCTTGAACTCATAGAGATCTGCCTGCCTCTGCCTCCCAAGTGCTGGGACTACAGACATGCGCCACCCTGTTGGCTTAACAAAAATTTTTAATTAAAATTTAAAAAGTTGCAGTAAAAAGAAGGAAGGAGGAATGAAAGAACAAAAACTCAAACTAAAACAATGTACCACAACAAAACAATGTAACACAGCAAGGACAAAAGAGGTAGAAAAAGAAAACAGAATAAAATGAAGATTTAATCAAACCCAATAAAAATTCAGTTACATTTTAACAGACTAAATAGTCCACTTCAAGGCCGAGATTGTCAGACTACATAAAAAGGAAGACCTGGCTACGTGTTATATAGAGGAGAAGCAGTTTCAGTAGACACAAGAAAAGACTGGAGGAGGACTGACGGGTAGAGCTGTTCATTATCTCTGCCAGTGAGCCAAGAAAGGCTGCTGAGGCCAGCAGCAGAAAGGAAAATAGGTTTAGGGAAGAAAGAATGGATGATGAGTATGACATCTGCATTTGCCAGGTAGATAGCACAGTTACCAAGCAGTGCCTCATGAAGGGTTCAGATTACCAGAACAAAATACCAGAACAAAAGTTGACAAGACCAGAAGAGAAATAGCAGTTCCAAAATTGTAGTTGGTATTTTAAAGATTCCTCTCTTAGCAAGAGATAGAACAAACAATCAAAGGTCAATGAGGAAATGAAGGCCGTGAGCCATAATAGGGAAACAGTTGAATCCACTCCTTATAGCACCCAAGTGTCGGCAGCACATCCTCCTCCAGTGCCTGCGACCTGTTCACCATGGCAACAGTGAATTCACATATTACTCTCCAGAGTATGTGGCTTGCTCATCAAAACAGCAGGATACCCACACATCTTCATCCAGTACATGTTGCCTGTGCAACTTGACAGTCATAGCATTCATATAGCTACCTCCAATGTGTCTGCTCACTATGACAACAGTGGCTCTCCACATCCATCCTTCATTGTGCATGGCCTGCTCACCATGACAACCATAGCATCCTCACATCCTTCTCTGTTGTTTGTCACCCGGCAACTATGGCATCATGCATCCTCCTCCAGTGCCTATGGCATGTTCAACGTGAGAACAATGACATCCATGTGTCTTCCTTTGCAGTGTGTGACTTATTCAACGTGACAATAGTGGCGAACATGTAGCCTCTTCCACTGTGTATGGACTGATCACTGTGGCAACTGTAGCGTCCTCTTCCACTGCATGTGACCTGTTCACCATACCAATGGTGACATCCTCCTCCACTGTGAATGTGACCTGTTCACCATGACAACAGTGGCATCCTCCTCTAATGTGTGTGGTCTATTCATCATGACAAGGTGGCATCCATATAGTCCCCTCTATGGCCTGTTTACCACAACAGTGGCATCTATCCATCTTCTTCCAGTGCCTGTGGCCTATTCATGACACTGTGGCACCTACACAGTGGTTTCTCCACTGGTGTAGGCTGTTGAACAACTGTGGCATCCACACATCTTCTTTCACTGCATGTAGTATGTTTACCATGACAACTGTGGCATCTACACAGTGGCATTGTCCACTGCAGTGGCATCCATACACTTTACTTCATTGCATGTGGCATGTTCACCATGACAACAGTGACATCTTCCAGTGTGTATGGTCTCTTCACCACGTAGCATATGCCATGAAGCAAGACTTAAAAGTTCAAAAGACTTGAAATCATACAGAGTATAGTCTCTGACCATGATAAACTAGATGAGAAGCTGATAATAATCTGATAACCAGGATGCCTCAATTATCTGCAGACAATAACACTTCTATGTCATTTCATGGGTCAAGGAAGAAAAAACAAAAGATTTGGGAAATATTTAAAATATAACATACCAAAATTTCTTGACAGGGCTGACAGAGAAATTTATACCCTTAAATGCTCCATTAGAAAAAAGGGAAAGATCTAAAATTTAGTGACCTAAGATGCTACCTTAAGTTAGAAAAATAAAAATTTAAAGTAGACCCAAAGCAACCAGATGAAGATGATGAGCAGAGAAAAATACTGAAAAGTTGCTCCCTTGAAACAAAAATCAGTGAAACTAGAAACTCTGAGACTAAGTAAAGGGAGGAGTTGAAGAGATGGTTCAGTGTGTAAGGGAGTTTCTTTGCAAGCCTGGCAACCTGGGTTTGATCCTCAGAACCTACATAAAGGTGGGTGGAGAGAACTAACTCTACAGGGTCACAGAGTTGTCCTCTGACCTACACATACACTGTGGCACATATGCCCCTACCCCACCAATCATGCACTGGGAAGCTGAGGTAGGATTACCTCTATAAATTCAAGGCTAGCCTGGACTACATAGCAAGACTCTGTGTCAAGAAACTAAAATACATAAACTAAAACCAACCAACCAACTCAAACTCAAATTGAAACAGAACAAATTTTACTGTGTTAATGAAAACCAGATTTCAGCCAGGTGTGGTAGCACATACCTTTAATCCCAGCACTGGGGAGGCAGAGGCAGGAGGATCTCTGTGAGATCAAGGCCAGCCTGGTTTCCATAGTGAGTTCCAGGTCAGCTGTGGCTACAGGGAAACAGTCTCAAAACAAAACAAATTAAAACCAACAAAACAGATTTCAATATTTATATCCCCAACAGGTCTGTTGGTAAAATTTGCCAAGTCTGAGGAGGACTTGAACTCCAGTCTTCTAGAAGCTCATACAGATGACAAAGGAGGGAGGTGGAGAGGAAAAGGTCACTCAGGTTTGAGGCCAATGGGACCTGATGCTAAAACCAGACACAGGCACTGAAGAGGTCAGGTACCTTGCAATACCTGTCATGAACAGATACCACTATCTCTGGTAATATATGCAAATGAAACCTTAGAACTTTTTGGGAAATAGGTAAGATTGCTCTAAAATCTCTGGGTGGGTTTGCTATTAATGTCTATTATCAGCGTAGCTCATAGCACAGTGTGGAGAACACAGTGAGGTCATTATATGGATTCAGGAAAAGTAGTTGAAAACAACACATATTTATCCCTAACTGCAGTTTCTTCAGTCTGTAAAAGTCATTAGGAGGGTGGGCCATGGTGGCGCACACCTTTAATCCCAGCACTTGGGAGACAGAGGCAGGTGGATCTCTGTGAGTTCGAGGTTAGCCTGGTCTACATAGTGAGTTCCAGGACAGCTGGGGCTACAGGGAGACCTTTTGGGAGACACTGTCTCAAAAAGACCAAAAAAAAAAAAGCACTAGGAAAATCTACCAGGTGAAGATAAGATGATAGTTTCTGTTTGCAGACGTGACTGACTACGTGAGGAATTCTACGGGAACTGTAGGATGCCTGCTGGGATGCGAGTGTGAATTTAG